TGGCCTCTTCGGATTATTTTTTTTCACAATTGATTCTTCTGTTGAATGTAAATTTCAACTATTTAAGAGCGCTCGGGTGGCGTGTATTGGTTCATGGTAAAAATCTGCTTGGACTGACGCTTCAAACGCGGTATGTCATTAAGCGATGTGACATCTCTGTCAAAAGTTATGGCGTTGCCAGATGGGTCCGTCGAATATGGGCAACCCTGTATATATAATTTTACACGGTTAAATCGTGCCTCATGGAAATACCGGTTTCAGATCTTAGGTCTCTTTGGACCAAATCCGTTTCAGGACATTTGGAGTCGATCTAGCGATGTCCGTTGGTCCGTCCGTCCGTCTGGCTGGTGTGTACGATAACTCTTGAAGGTAGTATCCGATTTGGTCCTAACTTGGTACCTCGTGATATTATTGTCAAAGTCAGATCGAATTGGTTTAGGAGCGGTACCAAAGGTCAAGTTTTCAAAAAAAAAAAAAACATACTGCACAGAAAGAGAAAGGATAACTCGACTTTGCTACAACGTTGCCAATCCTAATATTTGCATCAGTCAGGTGCGAAAATGGACAATATCGGTCCACTCCTTCAAGTACCTGCCCCACAAATGGTCAAAATTTTGAATAATTACAATTCTTATAAAACATGATTTAAGAGTCCGATTGTCTTCAAATTTCACACATTCCAATAATGTTGTTAGCCCATGGTCTGGTTTTAAGATCGTCGGACCACTCCTTCTGGTATATCCTTTACAAAAAGTCAAAATTTTCAAAAAAAAAAAAACATGTTTTCGGCACAGAAAAAGAAACGACTATCCGATTTTGCTCCAACTTTGCAGTCCTAGTATTTGCATCAGTGATAGGTTAGGTGCGAAAATGGACAATATTGTTCTACTCCAACAAGTAGCTTCCCCACAAAGGGTCCAAATTTTGTATAATTACAACTCTTATAAAATGTGAAGTAAGCGTGCGATTATCTTTAAATTTCACAAATCAATATATTTTTATTAATCCAAGGTCTGGTGTTAAGATGGAATATATCGGTCCACTGCTTCTGGTAACTTCCCCACAAAGAGTTCAAATGTTGAATACATATGGAGCTCATAAAACACGAAACTAAAATCCGATTCCATTCAAACTTGGTAAATCTCAATAATTCCATCAACACAAGATCTGTTATAAAGATGGTAGAGATCGGACCATTTCTTCTGGTACCTCCCCCACATAGGGTTTAAGATTTTGAAAAACAAAACGCTCAAAGAGCACACAACTCTCTTCAAATTTCACACATACAAACATTTTTGCTAACATAAGAACTGTTGTGAAGATGATCATTTACATATGTCTGCGAAATCCTTCTGGTACCTCTACCACAAAGGGTGAAAAATTTTTAATACTTTTATCTGTCATAACGTGCGAAAAAAGTCAGCGATTCTTTACAACTTCCTACATCTAAATATTTCAATATTTCGAACTTCTAATTCCGCATAAAATTGGATATAAATGTTCGATAATACTCATTCAAAATGGTTCATAGTTGGCATAAACTATGTAACAAACGTTTATTACATTACGGTCCCGACCGATTTTTGACCTTTCTTTACTGATTTTAATATCAGATCACATCTTGTCAAAATCTCCGTAAATCTGAAAATACAATTTTAGTTATTTTGAAGATCCTGGAAATATATTTCGGAGTGGCTGTGCAAATTTGAAAACTTGATATTTTGATAAAATCCATGATCTAGATTTTGGTACGGTCCCCACATAACGGCAACTCCAATTATTGGTATTTTGAAGATCCTACTAGTCATTGTGTTTTTTTACCCTACACCACAAGGTGGTCAGGGTATTATGTTTTTGTGCAGTTGTTTGTAACAGGCAAAAGGAAACGAGATAGACCCATAGTTCCTTCTGATGATCTGCATTGAATCGCATTCTGAGTCGATTTATGTATGTCCGTCCGGCCGTCCGTCTGTCCATGTCGTGTAATATCAGCCCGTATGAAATGAAAGTATGAAATTTGGCACATACAACCAAATTAGGCCTGAAAATAAGTATGCCAAATTTTATCGATATCGGTTCAGATTTGGATATAGCTCCCATATATAACTTCGTCCGATTTACCTGTTATTGTGCACCAAACGTCTAATATTTGTCCAAATGGGATGGAATTTGGCACTTACGACCGAATTGAGTCTAGAAGCTAGTATGTCAAATTTGGTGAAGATCGGTTTAGATATAGCTATAGGTCCCATATATACTGTTCATCCGATTTGTTACCCACAGCCGTAATATGTACTCCGTAACAACGATATTCATGGAAATATATCAAATATAGCTCAAAAATATCTTTGCCAACTTTGATTGAAATTGGTTCCGATTTGGATGTAGCTCCAATATATATCTTTTTTCCGATTTAAAATTAATTTTGCACTAAATGGGCAATACAAGACCGAATTTGAAAGCTACAAATGCTTCGGCATATATAGTCCTTTGAACTTTAAATTATAATTTTAGCGTGTATGTTGAATTCTCCCATTAAAACGTTTAATTGCTATGCGGAGCTCTACTAAATTAGCAAAGTGGTGTAGGGTATCATAAAGTGGGCCCCGCCCGACTTTAAGACTTTCTTTACTAGTTTTAAAATTGTAGCCAATTTTTTTTCAATGAAATTGGCTGGAAACTCGCACAAGAAGTTCGAAAAAAATTTTCTATGCAGGTCCACATTCTCGTATAGCCCCTATATAATGGTACCTCCCAATATTCGGTATTTTTATGGTATTAGAGACATTTTAGGCCGGAATTATTTCAAATTTCGTATTTTAAGTTCATAATGGGTACTACAGTCTATGACAAAAATTTCCGTATACAGGCCGTCGTCTTTGTATAGCCGCCGTATAACGGTTTTCACTTTCGGAATTTTGTTTCCATTTTTCAAGTTCCTAGCAAATGTTGGAGGTTATTAAATGTTCGGTCCGGCTGAACTTAGCTGTTTTTTTTTGCTTGTTTTACTAACAATTTACCGACGGCAAATTTCAACAGCAAAAGTACCAGAAGAAATGGTGCGATCTCTACCACATTTATAACAGTTATTGTGTTGACGGAAATAATGAGATGTATTAAGGAATCGGACGTTATTTTCGCATTTTATGAGCTTCATGGATATTCCAAATTTTGACCCTTAGTGGGGGAGGTACCGGAAGAAGTGGACGGATATATCCCAACTTCACATCGGACCTTGGGCTAACAAAAATATTATGATGTGAGTTATTTGAATAGTAGCGGATGCTTATATTGGATTCTTTGATCGTTTTGGTTATTTAAAATTTTAACCCTTTGTGGGTGAGGTACCAAAAGGAATTGTCCGATCTCTAACATCTTTATAACAGATCTTGTTTTGATGGAAATATTGAGATGTACTCAGTCTGAATGAAATCGAATGTTAATTTTATGAGCTTCGTGGATATTCAAGGGCTATACGAAGACCTGGATCTGCACAGACAATTTTCTGTCATAGGCTGTAGTATTCATTACGAACTTCAAATGCGAAATTTGAAACAATTTCGGTAGATAGTCTCGGTAAAATAATCAAAATACCGAATATCAGGGGGTACTGTTATATGGGGGCTATACGAAGACGTGGACCTGCACAGACAATTTTCTGTCACAGGCTGTGGTACCCATTACGAATTTCAAGTACCAAATTTGAAACATTTCCGGAGAATAATGTCGCTAAAATCGTCAAAATACCGAACATCGGGAGGTACCGTTAATGGGGGCTATACGAAGACGTGGTCCTACATGGCCCATTTTCTGTCTTATGCTGTAGTGCCCACTACGAACTTCAAATGCTAAATTTGAAATAGTTCCGGTGAATAATGTCGCTATAATCGTCAAAATACCGAACATCGGGAGGTACCGTTAATGGGGGCTATACGAAGACGTGGTCCTACATGGCCCATTTTCTGTCTTATGCTGTAGTGCCCACTACGAACTTCAAATGCTAAATTTGAAATAGTTCCGGTAAATTATGTCGCTAAAATCATCAAAATACCGAAAATCGGGAGGTACGGTTATTGGAGGCTATACGAAGACGTGGACCTACATGGCCTATTTTCAATACCAAATGTCCTGCAGACATAATACACCGATCTCTACTACTCTCTATTTTACAGTTCTTCTGTTGATAGAAATATTGAAGCTCACGTTTTATGAGCTTCACGGATATTCAAAATTTTGACCCTTTGTGGGGAAGGTACCAAAAGAAGTGAACCCATGTTTTCCATCTTCACAGCAGACCTAGTATTAGTAGAAATAATGGGATGTGTGAAATATGAAGAAAATCGGATACTAATTTCGGATTTTATATTCGTTTTGATTATTCAAAATTTTGACCTTTTTTGGGGGAGGTACTTTATGAAGTGGACCTATACTGTCCATTTTCGCACCTAACCTAGCACTGATGAAAATATTAGGTTCTGCTAAGTTGGAGAAAAATCGGATTATCCTTTCTCTTTATGTGCAGTATTTTTTTTTAATTTCGACCTTTTGTGAGGGATGTACCGAAGAAGTGGACCGATATTGCCCAACTCCGAACGCGATCTAAGTTTGATAATAATATTAGGATGTACCAAATTTGGCCGTAATCGGATACTCCCTTCGAGAGGACGGACGATTCTAAATGTGCTGAAACGGATTTGGTCCAAAGAGACCTAGGGCCTAAATCCGTTATTTCGATGAGGCACGTTTTGGTCGTCTCAAATGATATAGCCCTAGCCCTATGGCTGAGGGTATAAAAAAACGTCTTAATATTTACATATAACTGGAGTACAATATTATCATCATTGGGTTTAAAGGTTGGTGTATTCTTTGCTTTTGCAATCTTCTTATGATCTTCCTTGCCCAATAAATCCTGTAGTCACTGAACTTATTTATTCCCCCCCCGTTCCAGGTGGAACCAAAATTATATGACATAAATAAACATATTTTCAACTTCCACTTACCCTCTCTTCTTCGCGTATCATTTCAGCTATTCCTGGTTTAATTTCCAAATCATCGGCAATCGATGAACCATGCAGGCGGCCGCCCTCAGTCATTGCCGCCGGACCTGAGGAGGGCAGGGAACGCATACCCATAGATGCCGCCGCTGAAGCACTTATGTCACCCAACATTGCAGCAGCTTGGGCAGAGAAACGTTCCGTTTCCAGGCGACTACTACCGGGACCACTGACACTGGTCGGTGAGGGCGTCAGGGGTCGACTTAAAATACTGGACGGGTGTGTTGAGGTTACTGAAGAGGCGGGCGAAGAACGATGAGATTGTAGGCCACCACCACCACCACTACCAATTCCTGCTGACGTTGAGGAAGAAGAATGTTGGGCCGCTGAGGATTGTTGGCCCTGGTGCTGTTGAGCCTGTTGTTGCTGCTGCTGCTGGTGGTGCAGATGATGGTGGTGATGTTGTTGTTGCTGCTGCTGCTGTTGATGATGATGGGACAACTGTAAATGTGGTGAGGCTGAAGAGGCTAGCAGAGAGGAGGGTGTCCTTGCAGGTGGTAGCAGGCTGGGTGCGGGCGTCGGCGAAGGCGAGGGAAATTCCAAATGGGCCGAGGCATCTAGAACACTGCTGGAAGAACCTGTTATAACCGGTAATGGTGGGGTAAATAGCGAGGAGTCTCTTCCTCTTTGCCGCTCCCGTTCCCTTTCACGATTTCGTTCCTGTTCGGCCCGCTCGGCAGCTATGAGGCTACCCAAAGGACTCTCGGGAGGATTGAATACCGTATCAGCTGAGGGCCATCTACGTTTCCGCACATTACGCGAAACCATGGGCGGTGAGAGTCGTAATTCTAAACCGGATCTGCCCGAGGTGCTGGGCAAATCCCAGCCGGAAGCTTCTACTCTGGAACGGGATTTTTCAGGTTCCATGGGTGTGAGTAACTCCATGTCACTATCTGCGGGTTCATTTTGATCGGAGGAACGTCGACTGGGCGGTCGTTTGCCAAAGGGCGAGAGACTTTTCTTGCGGATTTTCGGCGAGAGGTGAAGGGGTGGAGAGTAGAGCTCTTTGTCGGAAGTGCTGGTCTGATCGGCCTTTGTACTGCTGTGCGGCGCTTCATTGCTGCTCGTACTTATGTGACCCACATCAGCCAGGCCACGGACCTTTAACATTTCTGCTATCCTTAGCAGGGGCCCAATTTGATCTTGGCTCACATTGATCTCGCCCTTGTACATAAAGTCCACAATGGCCTTGAGTTCGGGCCAGTTGACATCGCGCATAATGACAATGGGATGTTGACAGGGTGTGGTGGAGAAGAGGGTTTGGAAATAGGGCGAACAGGCGGAAAGTACCATTTTGTGGGCCTTAATGGAACGGCCATCACAGGCCAGGGTGACATCGACAAAAGCTTCCGTTTGCAGTAGCTGATCAAAGACACTGGTCAGATTGCTTTGATAGTTATTCCAGCGTAGGCAAAATTGTTGTTGTTGCTGGGAAGAGCCATTGGCCGAATGGGAACCGGCAGAGGAACGATCTGAGTGCGGTGAGTAGGAGGCTTCTAGGGCCAAGTTTCCGCCTACTCGCTGTTGGGCCGAATCACCAATGTCGGAGGAGTAAGGAGGCGTTTTGTGGTGTTGCGTATCGCCTTGTTCGATTTTGGCTTTCTTTGGCTCCATTCCTGGAGAGCTGGAACGTTTTGGACTACCCGTCAGACTGTGTAGCAATGAACTTGACCTTGAGTGACTCCTGGGGGCCTGAGGTGAATGTTGTTGTTGTTGCTGCGACGGCTGCTGCTGTTGCTTGGCCATGGCTTTACTGGAGGCGGCTTCCAATAGCTCACGAAACGTTTGAACATTATCCGCGGCCGATGAGCAGCTGCTGCTGGTGGTGGTGGGATTCGGGGCCGGAGATTCGTCTTGTTGTCGGTGTGTGGGGGAACTTTTAGAATCCATTATGAAACCGTGGAGCCATATATTTGTGGGGGGTGTTTCTTTTCTGGATGTGTTTTAGAGGATCGTTATATTCACATCGTTTGTTAATTTGTTGTGAGACTTTCAAAAAAGAAGTACGGCAACACTGTATTTTCTTTTAAAGATTTTTACATTCACATCTATTTTTTGTTATAAAATTACTAACAAAAATACGGCAACACCGTTTTTTATTGTTTTGCTTTGAGTTTAGTTTTTTTATATTGCCAAGTGGTTGAAATTTTGACAGAATACGGCAACCCTGTTTTTATTTAAAATATTTTTAAGATCTTTACTACCACATGTTGTTATTCAGTACAGATTTTTGAAAAAATACGGCAACACTGTTGGCTCACTTATTTTTTGCAGGAATCTATTACGATGCCGGAACCATATTTTTCGTGAAGTTTATTTTTTTTAATATTCCCAAATGCATGATTTTTTTATCTCTTATGGAATTTCGAACAATACGACAACAATGTTTTTTTATTGTTTTATCCAGATTTAAGTTTTTTATCTGTAATGAAATAAAAAATATGGCAACACTGATTTTAAATATTTTATGTCGAGTTTATTACTATCAATTTTTTTATTCAGGATAACAAATATTTTAGGAATATGGTAACACTGTTTTCTCATGGATCGGCTATTTAGTTTTTTTTTCGCCCGAATCCATTACGAAGACGAAGCCAAATATTTAAAGGGAAATTTTCTTAGAGTCTATTTTTTGGAATCTTCCAAACTACACGAATTATTTTTAGTTGTTTCGAATAAAACAAAAATACGGCAACACTGATTTTTTATTTTTTTTCATTTTGAGCTTATTTTTAGGATCCTCACACTCCCGTTTTTAGTAATAGAATTATTAAATAAAACGGAAATCGCAGCCCTGTTTTTAGTTTTTATTGCTAGTTTTATGCATTTAATGACTGTTATGAAATTTAAAGAAACTACGACAACTCTGTCTTATATAATTTTAATATTTTTTGAAGATCTTCAAAATTGTGTGATTTCATTGATTGCAATAAAATATAAAAAATATGGCAAGTATGGAAAAGATCTACAAAATTTTATGAATTCATGATTATTATGCAATTGCGAAAAAATACGGCAACTCTATAGCATATAGCCAGAAAATTATATTTTGAAAAAGTATGTCAAACTTTTTATTTCGTGTTTATTTCAAAAATACGGCAACGCTTGAAATTGAAATGTAAAAAATATGGCAACATTTTTTTTTTTTTTGCCAATAGAACTTGGAGAGTTTCTAGTGTATAATTCGCATATGCTAATTTGCAATAAGTTCGAAATATATACTACTTTCCAGAGAACGGCCCTTGTAAGCCATCATCCACATCAAATATGCCTGATGAGCCGCTTAACCAACAGCGAAACGCGTCGCATAGTGGTGAGTGTGTGATAGTGTCTATCTGGCTTTCCTTTTCACTGCAAATTTCAGATCATTAAGCTCGTCTCGAAAGAGAAAACAAACACTTAAATCATAAAACATATGATCTTCGCCTTAATAAGGCAAAACTCAATTTTTTTTTTATTTTTTATATCGAGATTATTTCTGAAGTTATTATTTTTTCTTTTAATTGTAATGAAATTAAAATATATGGCAACTCTGTCATGTTCTTGAAAAATATGGAGATCTTCAAAATTATATGAATTGTAACTAAAATTAAAAACATGGTAACTCTGTAATTTTTATTAAGAGAAAATATAGATTGGAAAATACGGCAACACTATTTCTATGTTTTTTACACCCTCCAACGTAGTATGGAAATCGAAATATACATCTTAGACCACACAAAGTGTATATATTCTTGATCGGCATACAATTCTATATCCGTTTTGCGATGTCCCTCCGTCCGTTTGTCTGTCGGTCTGTGGAAATCACTGTGGCTTCCGAACGAATTGAAGAAAGTTGATAAAGTTTTACTCAAACATATATTATGTCCGCAGGATTTTTGGTATTGAAAATGGGTCATGTAGGTCCACGTTTTGGTGCCCCCATATAATGGTACCTCCCTACTTTCGGTATTTTGGAGATTTAAGCGACATTATTCACCGGAAATGTTTCAAATTTGGAATTTGAAGTTCGTCATGGATACTATAGCCTATGACTGAAAATTGTCTGTGCAAGTCCACGTCTTCGTATAGCCCCCATATAACGGTACCTCCCGATATCCGGCATTTTGATGATTTTAGCGATGTTATTCACCGGAATTGTTCCAAATTTGGTATTTGAAGTTCGTAATGGATATTACAGTTTATGACTGAAAATTTTTTGTGCAGGTCCACGTCTTCGTATAGCCCCCATATAACGGTACCTCCCAATATTCGGTATATTGATGATTTTAGCGTCAATATTTACTGGAATTGTTTCGAATTTGGTATTTAATGTTCGTAAAGGATACTACAGCCTAAGACAGAAATTTACTTACGGTACATCCCGATATTCGGTATTTTGATAATTTTAGCTACATTATTCACCGATTTTTTTTAGGTTTCGCATTTGAATATTGTAATGACTTATGACAAAATTTGCCTATGCAGATCCACGTCGTCGTAGTCACCCTAATATAACGGCTACATTCGGTACTTTTTTAAAATTGAACGGATTTTAATTTTTTGAAAATTGCCAAATTCGTTGCAAATGGTGTTCGGCCCGGCCGAACTAACAGCTTTCTTACTTGTTTTTACATCGATTTTATTTGCGAATATCTTCAAAATTATATGTATTTTGTAATTGCTATGCAATTTTGTACATTTTAGAAAAAATTGCAACCCTGTATATTAATATGAAAATGAAACCTTGTCTATTAGTTTGAAAATGAAATATTGAAAAAGATATGTTTTTTTCTTTTTATCTCAAGGTTTTCTTAAAGATCTTTATAATTTTATGAATTGATTTATTGTTAAAATTGTTGAAAAAATACGGCAACTTTGTGTTTTTGCTTGAAAATGCCACGTTGAAAAATATGGCAATATTATAATTTACTTTTATCTTCAGTTCGTATTCAAACACTTTCAAAATTTTCTGAATTTATTAAATGAAATCTTGAAAAATACGATAACACTTTCTTATCACAATATTTCTTATCTCGATTTTTTTTTTCTAAAATTTTTAAATTTATACGAAATTTTAATATTTTTATTAAATGACAGAGTTCATTTTGAGTAAAAAAAAAAATTTGAAGATGCGACAATATTGTTTTTATATTTTTATCTCGTGTTTATTTTCGAAAATCTTTAAATTTTTATTGCTATGGAGTTTGGAAAACACACGGCAACCCTATCAAAAAACATTTTTGAACAAATACGGAAACGCCGCTCTTTATATTTTTAATCTCGTCATTTCATTTTCCAAAATCTTCAATATTGCATGAATTGTGTAATTATTGTGATATTTAGAAAAAAATACGGCAACACTGTTTTGCAGCCAGAATATGAATACTTAAAAAAAAATGCGTAACGCTGTGATCTAGTTTTTAACTCGATTTTTCGAAGATCTTCAAAATTATACCAGTGTTTGTTATTGCTATGACATTTGCAAAAAATGTGGCAACCCTATCTCTTAGTTTGAAAACGCAATTTTGCAAAATGCAGAATACGGTGACACTATTATCTAGATTTTAACTCGATTTTGTAGATTTTCAATATTATAGGAAATATTTAATTGTAATTAAATTACAATAATATGGCAACTCCGTCATTTAGTTTGAAAAAGACACGTCTCGAGTCTATTTTTATAGATTTTCACAATTATTTGAATTGTTAATTCGTAATAAAATTAAAAAAAAATACGGCTACTTTGTCATTTGTTTTAAAAATCATGTTTTGAAAATATACAGCAGTCCCATTTAAAATACGGCAATAAAGTTTTCTAAATTTAAACTCGAGTTTATTTTGGCAATTATATGATTTTTTATTTTTAGTTAGTTTTTATTTTATTTATTTTTTTAATATTCCGTATTCTTCGGTAACACTGTTTTGGAACTCAATTTTATCCTGAGTTTATTTTTGAAGAACTTCACATTTTTTTTAAATTAAAAAAAAGTGTGGCAACACTGTATTTTATTTTGAGTAGTTGTTTTTTCCAGTTTATTTCGAGTTTTTTATTTTATTTATGTTTTAAGATGTTTTCTTTTGCATGATTTTTTCATTTTCAAATATGGCAACACTATTTTGAAGTTAGTTTTTTTAGTTTATATCAAGTTTTTTATTTTACTTATATTTTTTAATTTTTTTGCATAATTTTTTATTTGTTATTATTTTTAAATATGGCAACACTGTTTTTACGTTTTTTCCAAATCGTACGATTTTTATGAAATGTGAAAAAACGGTAAATTTTTTTTAAAACTAATTTTTATCATGAGTTTATTTTTATTTTTTTTTACCTTAAATAATATTTCTGCATATTATTTTTTTTTAAAAATACGGCAACACTGGTTTTAAGATTTTTCCAATTCCATGATTCTTTTTTTTTGGATTTTTTCTCCTCAGTTTTTATTTTATTTTCTGAGATCATCACACATTACATTATTTTCTATTTTTCAATACGGCAACACTGTTTATTTTTTTAATGGGCAGGGTAACCGAGTAATTACCTTCTGTTTTTATTGCTCTTGTCACGATTACCAATTACCCGAAACCGAAGGAAGCTTTATTTTACCATTTAAACTCGCGCTTATATATGTTTTATTTTGCCCGCGTAAATTTATTTTTCTCTTGTCTCTTTTTCCGTTTATTTTTTATTTTTATTGTTGTTTATTTACTCTGTTGTCATTCAACATCAACATCAGTAACAGTCCTCTATGCCATGGGAATGAGTATAACGGTATATTCCAACTACTCACTTAAGTGTTGGTGAGTTGCACTGGCTTCGTGTTTTGTTGGAGATCGTTTAATGTTGCCTTTCAACGAATACTCTTCCAAAGTGTCGGAGAGAGCGAGAGTGAGCACACGTTACATTTAAGAAGTTGCCGGCAACTGA